GACCAAAAATCTGTCACAGAATTTTGAGACCTATTAAAACAAAGTTTAATGAGAAAAAAAAATTACTAATAATAGAATGCCTGGGAGGCTGATGTAGGCAAAGAGAAGTCTGGTTATTTTAAGTCTTGTAATCTGAGCATATCTGAAGATCTAAACACACCTGGTACTTCAAGGGACCTAGCGGTTGCTAAATCTTTCTCTCACGTTGCCATTTCAAAATGCTGGTATGAATTTGATATGAGTTTAGATCACAAGTTGACAGAAAAGAGCAGAACACAGGAGAAATGGAATGTGTTATTTGCAGGCCTCCACATTATCAACTTTCAAAATCTAGCTAACCACTGCTAATTGTATTTAGATAAAACCAGAGATTTAAGCTGGACCTGGTGGCATAGAGCTGTAATTGCGACACTTGGAAAACTGAGACAGGTTGACTGCCACAAATTCAAGGCCAGCTTTGGTACCTACTTAATTGAAGTCCAGCCTCAACTACAAAGTGAGTCCTGGTCTCAAACAAAACAACCATAGATTTACAAAACTGGTTTAAAGTGTGCACATTATTTTGTGAACTTTTTTTTTTTCACTTAATACAGTATTAGCATCTGAAAAGACCCATCTGTTAAAGACTTGGTCCTCAAACTTGTGTGGTGTTGCACACTTGTAATCCCAGGATTCTGAAAAGCTGAGGCAAAAGGGTCCCAAGTTCGAGCCCAGCCTGGGCAATTTAGCAATATGGTGAGACTCTATAGCTGAGGATGTCTATGACTGAGGATGTAACATAGCATCCTGGGCTCAATCCTTGCTACTGAAATAAAATGAAACAAAATTCCATCTATACTGCGATCTGGTCTGAGGATGAAAGATGTTAGTCCAAGCTCTTAACCTTTATTCAACTCTAAAGGTTATTGGATATCAGGAGCCCACGATGTTGCTGTCACCTGCAACTAACTTGTCCTGTGAGCCAAGTGTGTTCCTGTGATCCTCTTTATTTCTCTTAGTTCTTATTTAGCTTTTCAGAGTGCTGCTTATAATTTTTCTTTTCTTTCTTTTTCTTCTTCTTTTTTTTTTTTTTT